GGCTGTAAACTCCTTGCTTCAACGGTTCTCAGACTAAGTGTATACGAGACACCAAGCTCACTGCCACGGAGTCCACTCCGACTCTATACAGAGCTTCCCAGGCGGTGGACCTTTGGGGGAGTAGACCCTTGTGGTTCAAAGTCCACCGCTTACCCGACCACACCACCAGCATCCTTAACCTATCTGTGCACGGTATTAAAAGCCCTGCATGGGGCAAAGCTGGAGGCTTGAGTCTACCCAGGGAAACCTCAGAAGAAAGACCTGGTGATCCCTTCTTGAAAACTCAGCCATTGAAAACCCTCCAGGGCACAGCTCTCCTCTGACACTCTCGGGGTCTCCAGGCATCGGGCTTGCCTTCTATACGTGACATACATAATCATGCATGTGCCAGAAGTACAATTCTAGGATGGCTACCATGAAGCATCATACATAAAACTCATTAAATGCATTCACTAGCAACGGAATCACAGGTCCCCTGTACTTTTCCCACCCACATGACAGTTACAAACGAAACAGTCACTACCCGTTGCTTTTAATGAAAGTGAAGAAAACAAGGGGTAAAAATCAAAAAACATTTATTAAAACTACAGGAGTTGTGGGTGGATGAGTGGGAAGCAATTACACGACTCAGTCCTATTGGTATTGTCATCCTACACCAGAAAATATAAATGTGGAAAACGGAGCCCCAAAGGTTCAACAACAACCAAGTATTCGTTATAAGGCATTCCGTGGCAAGAGCCACTGAACAACACTTGTAAATTACTAGGCTGAAGAGAGCTGACAATTGGATGAAGTCAGCCCCGTCTTTTGAATCACGGATTTGAAATTTTGAAATTCGCCCTGACATGCAGAGGTCTTCATCATAATTGTATCTTTCCTCCAAGTTTGGTTTTCTACAGAGAAACTTTAAGTGTCTAGAAAAGTACAGAGAACAGTGTAATGACCACCTATGCTCATCACTGGGTTTGACAACTTCCATGCTTTTGCTAGATTTGCTTCAGCTTTCTGTTTTTCACATCAAGAGATAACCTGCAGCGAGTCCTCGAATAGGCTTCAGGTAGACGCGGATTTAATCTTAGCATCTTCAGCGCTTCCAAGGACCCCCACGTGGCTTTTGTGACACATGATAATTCTAATTTCTCTCCCACGTGAATTTTAATGACACCTATTGGAAAGGGGAAGGAGCCTTGGTGACACTACAGGTTAGGCCTCCGGCTGCAGCTCAAACCCACCAGCAAATCCCCAGGAAAAGAAAAGGCTGCCTGCTCCCACCCAGATAGCAGTCTCAGAAATGCTCTATAAGATCACTGTCGGTCAGAACCCACTTGATGGCACTGTTGAGTAAGTGATCGGCTGCTAACTGAAAGGCTGGTGGTTTGAGCCCACCAGCAGCTCCAAGGAGGAATGATGAAGCTGTTGTGGGCTCCTATAAAGGTTTAAACCAGGGGTGGGGAACCCTTTCTCTGGCAAGGGCAATTATATATTTAGAACATCTTTCACAGGCCGTCCTGGTCAACTAATAGTATTGCTGGAACTGCTTCTCTTTGGTGAGGCTTGTGATATTAGCTGATAATGACAACTTTGTGGGCCTTATATGGACTGTGGGTGGGCCATACCCCAGCCCTGACTTACAGCCTAGGAAACCCTATATAGGGTCACTATGAGCCACAATTCAACTCAGTGGCACTGGGTTTAGTGGGTAGCTTTTACACTGGGGAATATCTACAGTGGTTACGTGACCTCTTAAGTGGCCCCTAAGGATCCTCACCCTCATAGTACGTATCTGTATCCTTACAGAATCCCTTCCTCCTGAGCATAGGTGAACTGACTACTACTGGCTTGCTTCTAATAACAGAATACAAGAGACGTGATAGAATCTCACTCCCAAAATGAGATTACAAAAAGACTAGCTTCCAACCTTTGCGCTCTCGCTCTCATTTTCTCCTAGATCACCCCCCTCAGGGGAAGAGCTGCCTGCTGGGAGAAGCCCCACGTGGTGAGGGACTGGGATATGCCCACAACCTGCCACACAAGAGAGCCTGGAAGCGGATTCTCCCCCACGGGACTTTTCCTTCGCTGAGACTGCCACGGCCCATTCACAGTGTGTCCACACCACTGGGAGACCTTGGAGCTGAGGGGCTCAGCCAAGCTGCATCTGCAGTTCTAACCCACAGAAACTGTGATGCAATGAATGCTTATTGTTTCAAAAGGCTCAATTCTGGGGTGATTTGTGCTGCAGCAATAGATAACTAGTGCATCTGCTTTGCCTAATTCAAAAAAGAAATCGTACACATGGAATCCAGGTCAGATAAACCTCTCCGGAACAGAAATGGGAGTAGCGATACCAGGAGGGTAGGGGAAAGTGGGGGGAGGAGGGGGAGAAGTGGGAACTGATTGTAATGATTGACACATAACTACACACCACACAACACAACCCCACACCCCCCAGGGGGGGATGAACAACAGAAACCATGGGGGAAGGGAGACAGCGGTCAGTGTAAGATATGAAAATAATAATAATTTATAATTTACCGAGGGGTCAAGAGGGTGGGAAGGGAGGAGGAAGGAAAAAAGAGGAGCTGATACCCAGAGCTCAAGTAGAAAGTAAATGTTTAGAAAATGATGATGGCAACATATGTACAAATGTGCTTGATACAATTGATGTATGGATTGTTATAAGAGCTGTAAGAGTACTCAATAAAATGATCTTTAAAAAGTTGTACTTGTGATATTGCTATGTTCCAATATTCAATATCATTTCAAACACATGATGTATATGCTAACATGTTCCCCACAGGTTTTTCACATTTTTCCTCACATGTACACATTGTCTTTTTAAACTGCATTTATTACATGAGTTAATTTTAGAAGTTGTATTTTATAAAACATACTTACTAGGTCATAGTTATAGAGAGGCTGACATACTTTTTCCAGCGTGTATAAATATCTGACATTGTCTTTTGATTCGTTTGCTGTATCAGTGATTCTTGCATCCAATTCACGCCAGTTCTAAGAAAAAGTATACAAGAATGCTATTTAAACGTTCAAATATGTCAATGTGTTAAAGTATATTTGAGAAGCGCAAACTATCTTCACCCATATCTCTAGGCTGGAACTGGGCCTGCTTCTACCTTAAGTAACTTCTCCAGATTCACTATTTATGCCATTATTTTACTCTGGGCCCTTAAGAGTTAAAAGTTATTAAAACACAATGTTGTTCCCAGAAGACATTTTTATTAGTAAAGTAGACTCATTCTGAAATCAACACTTTTCCTGGCAATGGGCCACCAAATAGTTCATGCTCAGAAAATGCTAGTTATGAGCTCTTTTTGTGAAGAAGCCTGTCTCCTCGTAGCCGCTACTCACTCGATCTGCTCGTGCCTGGCAGAGCCTCTGGGGACACACAGTAGCCCTTCAGTTACTGGAAGACAGCCACCACTAGGTCTTCCGTTTAAGGGTAACCATTCCTGTGCATTCACCTAGTGGTGGTCTTGATGCCTTCCACATCTTGGCCCGTCCTTTAGATATTCACTTGTTTATATTAGCATCACTCTTAATATGCACACCTCAGAAGTGAAAACAAGGCTTTGGGTGTGATACAATTATGCTGAGAAAAATTTCATTTTATGGAAACTGTATTTCTCTTGCACATGAGGTTTCCCTAAATGGGAATCAACTCAATACCCACTAGGACTAGTATACTTCTCATAACTGACTTCTCACAGGTAATTTGGATTAATTTCAGGAAAACTGTTGTGTCTTTTTCCTACTTTCATTGGTCAGTTTAATTTCTTGGTAGCAGGATTTGTATTTATTCTTAAGAAATGGTGCCTTCCTATACACTGACCACTCTTCCATTTGAGGGATGTAAAATCCAGGATTTGTCTGATCTTGGTCGGACATGAATACAAGTAACATGGTGGCGGTCCAGTGAGTGCTGAAAGGGGCGTTTTCCCCTTGACCCTATCTATACAACTTCACCTCAGTGAGCCCGACTGGTTTATAACTTCAAAAACAATTTTAAAATGAAGGGCAACCACTCTTCTGGTCATCACCCCTACAGTATTCACTGCCAACGAGTCTATTCTGACTCACAGCAATCCTACAGGACAGAGTTTATCCGGGTTACTAAGACTGTTGATCTTTACCGGAGTAGAAAGCCTCATCTTTCTCCCTTGGAGTGGCTGGTGGCTTCAAACTGCTGACCTTGTGGTTAGCAGCTTCGTGCGTAGCCTACTGTGCCACCAGGGCTCTCCGCCCCATCGTTGTAGTATGTCGTTGAAATTGGTGTGTGGATTGGAACTATCCAGGACGACTTATATTTGGGTTTTGGTTTTTCCCTGCTGCTGCTGGGGCACTCGGGTCTGGCGAGTGTCTACTTAGAATACCTGGAGAGACCCACCCCTCCTGCAGGGGTAATTAGCATCGCAGGGTGTCACTGGAGTCACTGGGCTCAGGTCTGCCTATAGGTGTCCCTGAGCAGTACATGCCCATGCTGCCCAAGGGTTCGTTGTAGACTTGGATGGCCAATGCATTGAGAAACAATTCCATCGCCTTTTAATATTGTCCCTTAATAAAGGCTTCTCAGATGCCCAAAAACTACAATTGGTGAAATGTTGAGAAATAAAACTTCCTAGCTCCACTTCCTTTCCCCCTTCGGAAAATGACTGTGGCGCAGAAGGCCCTCCTGGGGGCGGAACTCCTCTGAGCACGTGACTGTGGCGCGCTGCAGAAGGCAGGCAGATTGTGTCCTGGCTGCTCCTAAGTATACACAAGACGAAGACCGAAGGCCTTTTACCTTTAACAACTTGGAGTGTGCGACATTTAACACATTAATGACAGCTTTACAACTGGGTCCCTTAATCTGCTCGATGATGTAATTGAATTTGGCTGACATGCGTTTCCAGTGCTCCAATTCCGTGAGCGGGCCTGAGTCGTCAGCTTCTTTCCGCATCTGCTCACTCTCAATAAGTACCTGCAATTAAAATTATTTAGAGACTGTAGAAATACCACATTCCTCTTTGTCAAAAAAAATATATATATATTTTTTTCTCTTTCAAAAGAAGCTCTCTGGAGAAAAAAAATCAATTCCAACTCACAGCAACCCTGTAATACAGAGCAGAACTGTCCCAGATGGCTTCTGACACTACAAAGCTTTATGGAAATAGATAGCCTCCCAAGGAGAAACTGGTGGGTTTGAACTGCTGGCCTTGTATTAGTAGCTCAATGTGTAACCTACAATGCCACCAGAGCTCCTATTAAAACACTATCAGGATAAATAATATGAAACACTGAGTAAATTTTTTTTAACTCTTAACAAACCAGGACTAGAGGGAGGTAGTGGGGAGGGAGGAGGAAAAATGAGGAGTTGATGCCAGGGGCTTAGGTGGAGAGCAAATGTTTTGAGAATGATGAGGGTAATGAATGTACAAATGTGCTTTATACAATTAGTGTATGTATGGATTGTGTGTGATAAGAGTTGTATGAGCCCCCAATAAAATGATTAATTAAAAAAAAACAGGAATAGAAGCCTTTTTTTTAACATGAAGAATACTCTCTATCAAAACTCTACAGCAAATATCACACTTAAATGTGAAATCTTTGAAAATATCACTTTATTCATTTTAATTTTTAAAATTTATTATTAATTGGGAGTAAATACATATAGCATAGCATATCATTACATAGTTCAATCATGTCAAGCACTCTTGTACAATCGCTACCACAATCGGTTTTTAAAAGAAAATATCACTTTAGAAGCATGGGCAAAGCAAGTTGTCTAATACCAACTCTTCAATTCAACATGGTGACAGGGACCCTAGAATAAGGTAAAGAAAGTAAAGCGAAGATTGAAGGATTGAAAATTTTAAAAGTTATGTCATCACAGATGATTTGATTGTCTACATTGGTGGTGCAGTGGGTTATGCACTGGGCTGCTAACCACAAGGTCAGCAGTTCAAAACTCCCAGCCACTTCACAGGAGAAAGGGGAGGCTTTCTCCCATAAAGAGTTATGGTCTCAGAAACCAACAGGGGCTGTTCTGCCCTGGCCTACAGGGTTACTATGAGTTGAAGTTGACTTGATGGCAGTGAGTTTTGGTGTTGAGAAGACTATCTAAAGGCAAACTCACAATTAAATAAACAAATTTGGTAAGTTTGCTGTAGGTACGCACACACGAGTAGGATTTCTTGAGAAGTCACGTAATAATTTGAAAACATTACTTCTAAAGAGGTACTATTTTCAATAGCAAGTAATAATAAGCCAAACAACTCAAACTCACTGCCATAGAGTTGATTCCTACTCAAAAGGACCCTACAGGACAGGGCAGAACCGCCCAATGGTTGCCAAGTTGACACATCTTTACAGGAACAGAACATCTCATCTTTCTCCTGAGGAGCAGCGGGTGGGTGTGCACTGCTGACCCTGCTGTGAACAGCCACACGTGGAGCCCATCACGCCACCAGGGCTCTTTCAATAATAATAAGGTACCAGATTGCTACAAGAAACCAAAAGAGACCTACATGACTGGAAGACTATTACATGTCTCTGGAGAGGAAATGTCAATACTGCACAAAGGAACCGACAAGTAAAGTGCAACTCGGATCCAAATCCCACCTAGTCTTTAAAGACCTGGGAAAAGCTCATCACTGACTTTATATGAAGAGGGAAGAGACCCAGGACAAGCCGAGAACTCCTTAAAGAAGAACAAAACTGGAAGCCTCAAAACCTATTACACTGGCCCAGTAGGTTAAAAAGCCTGGTGTTGGTATAAGAAGAGATACATAGACCAATGGAACAGAATAGAAAATCCAGAAATCATCCCATTGACCGACAGACAACTGATCTCCAACAAACAGCCATAAAACCATAAATTCAAAAGAAGGAGTCTCTTCAACAAATGGTGCAGGCACAATTGGATCTCCCTCTGCAGAGGAATGATACAAGACCCATCCCACACCCCATGGACAAAAAAGAACTCAAGATGGACCAAAGACCTAAATGTAAGTCCCAGAGCTATAAAGACCACCGATGAGAAAAGAGAGACAAAGTTGAGTGCCCTACTGCAGGACATAGACAAAATATCAACTATACCAAAGGAACACCCAGTAGAAGATGAAATGGATGAGTGGTAATGCACCTACCGACATGAGATTCTAGTGTGCATCAAAGGCTTCATCAAAAGGGAACTCAAGGAGTGGGGAAAATTTTTGGAAATGGCACAATGGACAAGTGACTGATCTCTGAAATCTACAGAGAACTGCAACACCTCAAGAAGAAAAAGATGAATAAGCCAATTTTTAAAATGGGCAAAGGGCATGAACAAACAGCTGACCAAAGATGACACCCGAATGGCCCACAAACATGAAGAAATGCTCACAGTCGCTAACCGCCTGAGAGATGCACATCAAAGCAACAATAAAGATCACCTCACACAAACAAAGACAGCTAAATCAAAACAAAACCATAAAATAGCAAATGCTGGTGAGGGTGCAGAAAGATTGAAACTTTCACACATTGCCCGTGAGACCGTGAGTGGGTACAACCATGGATAAAGTGATATGGTGGTCTCCAAACACCGAGCCCAGAAACTCCAAAGCAACCCCCGTGCTCTATACAGACCCTAAAGAAGAACAAGTCATACCATAACAGACATATGCCTACCCATGTCCTGCACAGCTCTGTTGACAATAGCAAGAAGATGGAAACAAGCCCATCAGTAGAAGCAAAGATAAAGAAGCTTTGGTCCATATACTCAACGGAATACTATACATCCCTGAAAAACCGAGGAGGAAGCCAACAAACACCTCGTGGCAAGGATGCACGTGGGAATAGTATGCTGAGTGAAATTAGCTGATCCAAAAAGGACAAATATGGTATGAGCCCATCGAAATGAAGAAAGAAAGAAAGAGAGAGAGGGAGGGAGGGAGGGAGAGGGGGGGAGGGGGGAGGGAGGGAGGAAGGAAATGACAAAAAACGTTCATGCCAAAGGGAACGGACTTTGGAGGTCACTATGGTGGGTACCGCAATAAAGTTATGATGAAACAACAGACGAGAAGACTAGAGCAGGATTGGCAAATTTTTGAGAGGGAGGAGCCAAGCTTGTCCCTCTCAACAATTAAAAATATATATTCAAGAGCCATAAATAAATGTTTACAAACAAATGAAATCACCACTATCTGAATAAGAGCCTGTAAAACTTTCCAATTTTACTTCAGAGCCACCGGTACTGAAAAGAGTTGCACATGGCTCGTAAGCTGAAGGTTATTGACCCCTGGGCTAGAGGATTGGCGTGTATTCCTTTGGGTGTAGAATATGATAATACTCTATGAGAGAGAAAGGAGAAGTCAAAGGAGGTGGGGTAGGGGAAGATATTGGAGGGTTGATAAGTATTTTGAATTGTTGAATACAAAACTGATAATCTGAAATGTAAACCCAACTGAATTCACAATTTAAACTTTTTTTAAAAATACTTTAAAAAAATCATTTTATTAGGGGCTCATACAACTCTTATCACAATCCATACATACATCAATTGTGTAAAGCACGTTTGTACATTCATTGCCCTCCTCATTCTCAAAACATTTGCTCTCCACTTAAGCCCCTGGCATCAGCTCCTCATCCCTCCCCTCCCCGCCCCCCACCATCATGAACCCTTCATAATTTATAAATTATTATTTTGTCATATCTTACATTGTCTGACGTCTCCCTTCACCCACTTTTCTGTTGTCCATCCCCCAGAGAGGAGGTTATATGTAGATCCCTGTAATCGGTTTCCCCTTTCCACCCCACCTTCCCTCCACCCTCCCTGTATCGCCACTCTCACAACTGGTCCTCAAGGGATCATCCGTCCTGGATTACCTGTGTTTCCAGTTCCTATCTGTACCAGTGTACAGCCTATGGTCTAGCCAGATTTGTAAGGTAGAATTGGGATCATGATAGTGGGGGGGAGGTAGGAAGCATTTAGGAACTAGAGGAAAGTTGTATGTTTCATTGTTGCTACACTGCACCCTGGCTGGCTCATCTCCTCTCCACGACCCTTCCATAAGGGGATGTCCAGTTGCCTACAGATGGGCTTTGGGTCTCCACTCTGCACTCCCCCTCATTCACAATGATATGATTTTTTGTTCTGATGATGCCTGATACCTGATCCCTTAGAAATTTCGTGATCACTTTTATTGGGGGCTCTTACAACTCTTATACCATTCCATACATCAATTGTATCAAGCCTATTTGTACATATGTTGCCATCATCATTTTCTAAACATTTACTTTCTATTTGAGCCCATAGTATCAGCTGCTCTTTTTTCCCTCCCTCTCCCTACCCACCACCCTCGAAAACATTTTAATCATGCAAAAGAAGATCTAAATAAATGACCTTATGTAATATTCATGGATGAAAAAATCCAATTATATAGAGTTAACAATTTCCATTAAATTATTTTCTATATTCAATAAAATCCCAATAAAAATCTCAATAGGGGTTCTTGTGGTTTTTATAAGCTGAACTTAAAATTAATTTGGAGAGACAGTGAACAAAAAAAATGTAAAATTTTGAAGAAAAATACAGAGAAGAGACTTGCCATACCAAATAATGAGCTAATGAAAGGTTATAGAAATGTAAACAGGGCAGTATGAGCACAAACAGTAGACCAATGGAACTGGCAAAGAGGTCTAGAAATTTGGTTGTATGACCTAGGTGACATGATAAATTAGGAAAACCTCTGGGGAAAATACGATAGCTATAAAGTAGAAATTAGATTCCCAACTCATGCCACATACAAAAATAAAAATTATAAGTGGATGAAAAACCTAAATGACAAAATTTTTTTAAGGAAATGAAGGAGGTCGACAGGGTCAGCCCCAATCAGAACCAAACTCACAAACACACACACACACACACACACACACACACACCTTAGTAGTATGTGCTACAGAGGACAACACTAAGCCTACAGGTTAGGGAGAGGGGCCGGC